TATTATTATTATTATTATTATTATAATTATTATTTTTTAGCAAGTATCGGCCGATTCCATCATACATTTATCTATTGCAAAAGAAGTTAATAATTGACTTCTCGTTTCAATGAACATTTATTCCAGAAAATCTAACGTTGGGAAGCGGAGTTACGAAATTTCGAGCCAAATTCAAACATTTGGATCGAAATTTCGATCGAAATCAACTGAATAGATAATAAAATTCGATTTATATCAATGTTTCGAAATGATCATTCAAGAATTTTGAAAAAAAATAGCTGGAAACGGTAAAATAAAGGAACGACCAGTTCGTTCGTACTTCTGGTTGGTTCTGGAGAAGAAGTATTGTTCTTATAATGATATTAGCAAACAGATTTTCTCTTGCAGGTGACTTACAATTGACTGTTAGCTTGGCGCTTGTTTCGGCAGTTCCGCATTCATTGCTGAGTTTGCAGGTGTACTGGCCTGACAGTTCGCTGGACACTTCTTTGATGATCAGACTGACCCCATCATCCGATTCCAACCTGGTGAATTCAGTTCTTGTTTCTTTGATTTCCACTTCATCCAGATACCTACGAAACAAAATCGATCGAATGAGTAACTTTGTTTTGCAATTAATTTATTAGAGTTTTTTTTTGGGGGCTCATGCAGAACAAGATTTCGCAAAAAAGTAATTTTTCAACGCCTAGGCATTAAAAATATGTTTGAAATATGTTTTTCCATTGATCAGCTGTTACACCCCTACAAATGACAACTCTCAGAAGTCTAAACTTGTGCGAGCTGTGGACTAACGAGGTCTTACCTTTCAAGGTGTGATTCCTAACACGGGTTGGATGATAGCAAGTGAAAATTCATCATTCAGCCTGTGGCTTGATCTACCGACCAACACAGCGGTCGATTGAGTGAGTGAACAAAGCACCCACGTCAAACCGACCGGCTACCAACCGACCAAATAATTTTAATGCCTAGGCATGATATGATCGATAAATGTAACTGAAATTAGCGTTCAATATCAATCACAGGTGAACATATTCATACATACCACTTAACAGTTGGCTTGGGGAAAGCTTCAAGTTTCACATCCAGAGTGACATTCTTATCACGCTCTGTGACGGTCATGTCGTGCAGTCCCGTTATAATTTTTGGCCCTTTCTTCACGTCGATTTTGACCTCATCATCAACGCTGCCGTGGATATTTAGAGCCTTGAACTTATATCGTGCTGCATCGGTAGTCACGGCACCTGTGATTTTCAGTATATACGTGTCCTTGTCCTCTTTTATGACGAAGTGCTCGCTGGATTTGATCTCTTCTTCATCTTTGAACCACTTGACTTCCGCTTTCGGTTCGGATTCCAGTTTGACTTTCAGCTCCACATTTTCGCCCTGGGAAACTTGTCTGTCCGCTCCTAGTTTCTGGACAACTTTTGGTTTCGTGAATACGTCTAGGTTCCAGAACTGCGAGACTTGTGCCAGTTCGTTGGTAGCGACCACAGAATAGGAGCCTGCAAAGTAAGTATCTCTTATAAGTCAGTGTCGATGATTCCTCAAAAGTAAAAATCGACATATTTGTCATCGCCCCATCTGCCCGTAAACGAGGTACTAACCAACCGCATATTAGAATCACCCAATTCCTCTTATATGTTGGGTGATTCATCGACTTCATGTTGATGATGGACACTACTTTGCACTGACGAGAAGCTAATAGTCCAAAACTGGTTTGTAAGTGTACCCATTCCATTAAATGAAAATCGATTCCGACTGTTGAATCGTCAACAGCATATGCAGGAATTGCTTCTGTGAAGAATATGATCCAACACCCTTTTTGGTATCACCCAGGGGACTAGCTAATTTCTGATATGTGTCTTCACTACCTGAGGTAGCAGATGTCTGTCAACCCCAGGCAAAACTGTGATAATCCCCTTCACCAGAAGGAGAAAATTGGATGATCTAACGCCACTTCCTCTCAGTGGTGAGGTCATTCCATTTGGAAATATCTTGGCATTGTCCTTGATGAAAAACTCACCTGGAACGCTTACTTGGAAAAAGTTTTACATAAAGCCAGACTGTCCCTATAGACATGTCAAAGGATTTGTGGTGGAACTTGGGGTTTAGGTCCCAAACAAATCCATTGGATTTATGAGATGATTGTCAGACCAATGATCACTTATGGTGCAATTACCTGGTGACCAAAGGCTTTACAGAAAACGGCATAGGCGAAGCTCTCTGGCTTACAGAGACAGGCTTGTCTGGCCATCAGTGGTGATATTAGTACCACACCGTCAGCGGTCATGAAGATCCTTCTAGATCTACCTCCTCTTCATATTTTTCGGGAGAGAGTTGCTAGATGGACTGTATATAGACTTGTGAAAATTGCCAATTGCATAAATCAATTTAATGCAGAGTGCAACAGACAGTTGGCTGACACTGGAAGTCACAGCATTCTGGAAATGACCTCTGACTTTATGCTTCCAACTGTCAACTACGAACTGCCTTATAAAGTACTGTTCCCGAGTAGAGAGGACTGGATCCTCCGGGAGGAGGATATATTAAGAGTAGATAGTGGTTGGTTTACAGATGGATCAAAAACACCTTCCGGTTCTGGTGCAGATGTTTTCAGTCGCAGAACCAGGACAGATATATCAACCGTATAAAAGTGTTTGATAGATGAATCTAAAACTAGATAAACAGAAAAAAAAATATTTCAATAAATCTCACCTGAGTCTTTGAGGTTTGTTTTCTCAATAACGAGACTGTGTTTTTCCCCTGACTCGACTACTTTTATGTGCTGGCTCTGCTTGATAACTTTGCCGTTCTTGTAAAATTGGATGGTCGGCTTCGGAATACCTTCTACTTCGACATCCATCTTCAGGAGTATATCGGCGTGTACCGAAATATCCTCCATTTTTGTAGTTATTTTCGGTGGTGCTGCAAAATATCGTATTTTATCAAGATGTCTATAGAATTTCATCCGATACATCGATGCGACATATAATATTAAGCTGTCGAAGAGTAACCAATGGAAGCTGATAATGAATTGAATAGAATTGTATTCGGGTGCATAAAAACCGGTCATCTCAAAACGTTAAAAAATTTTGATCATAAAAAACTTTTTAATTTCTAGCTTGATTTTGATGATTCTTTTGAAAAATTAAAGGAACTGATTTTGATGATTCTTTTGAAAAATTAAAGGAACTGTATTCGTTTGACTCGCATTAAATAAATAATTGGGTATCAGAGGTTAAGTTTATTATTGGTTTTGAAATTTCATTCATTGAAAAGAAAACAATATGTCTATATGAACATCATGATTAGTTAAAAAGAAAGTGGGGCACTGCAAGGTTCAATCTTCAGGCCTGTTTTGTTCCTCATATATTTCAAATCGTTTGCTACAGGGAATTAATTCAATATGTATATTAGAAATGTTTGTTGATGACACCACTTCAATTTGCAATGGAAATGTACAAGAAATTAGTATAATTGATTTGAAAGACGTTGATCAAATATATTATGATTTCAATGTAAAAGAAAGTCGACAGATTTTCAGGAATTTTTCGTATATGTATATAACACAAAATCAATCGATTTGTGCTAAAGTTTTTTTCCACATAATTTAAAAGAATTCGGAATTCATCCTTTACTTCCTCCACAATGCACAATGATTGGCCGTGATCTTTTGTTTGTAGGCATGTTAGGCGTATACATTCTTGAACCATCAGTCCACCCTTTCGTAACTGTGTCGTGAGTGTCATACCAAGTTTCACAGAAATAGAAAATTTGCCGTTGTTCCTGTCTATATTCAGTTATTTGTTCTAAGTATTTGTTAGGCAACTCCACTATTCTTCTGCTTTCCATAACTGCTTGACGTTTGTTTATTATTTTGAATTTAAATCCTAATTCTTTTATCCAATTCTGAAGAGTTTCGTCACAGCAGCTCACGTTATGGCCGGAAGTATTCAATTTCTTCCTTATGATTTCAGTTGTAGGAATCTCATTGCTTTTGTAACAGTCGTATATTGTTTTTCAATGATTTTATAAGATGAACATCTAAAGGTTTTGGTAATCCTATATCACATCGCGTCTTGCGTTCATAAGGTTTGTTTTTGACTATTTTACGTACAGTTGAGAAAAGAATTTCGGTCAAATCTGATGTTACCTGTGATAGTTTGTTTCCCTCGAAACCAAACTTGAGATGTAGACTCTTATATACATTGAAACATACTCTTTGTGTTTCAATATTCAACTGCATCGAAATCTTATTCACTAGTATCTCTTTTTCGCATTGTTCACCATCGCTATTGGAATCAATACACTGGAAAAAGTCTGCGTTGTTATCACACATGTTGTTACTATTAGTACTTGTCCAAGGACGCCACATTTTGAACATATAACAAAAATTTTAAGTAATTATAACTGCACCAATATCGAATTTCAACACTCAAATCTCGATCAGTTCCTGAACTGAACACGACCGCGATAACCATCCCCGCATTTCCGATTTCTATTCGTCACCGTAACATGACTTAAATTCAATTTTATAGCCAATCATAAAACTTGGTTAGTAAAAATTATCCAATATGAACCGCCAGTTTTACAGTACACGTGGACTATTTCGGGGTCGGTTCATTTTTATGTATTGGTTTTTTTTGGCCTTTGAGCGTGCCGCCAACTTTAAATGTTCACAATATCGTTCACTTCGACTATACCTTCATCTGACTCAAAATTAATAGATAATCCAGATAATCAGGCAATCTGAAAGTAACAGAAATTTGAACGAATATTGGGCATGAAAGTATCAAGTTTGACAAAGAGGCGACCAAGTTTTATTGAACAAAAATTTTGGAATAGCTTTATTTCTTGAAAAAATGAATCGTCATCATTTTTTATTACATTGAGAAAAAGTTAGCACTATTGACCACACAACATACCTAAACTGAGAATACCACAGCTATTTCATTGATCACTCTTCGATAAATGTTTTCCGTTCAGATTTTATGTGTTATGGTCGTAAAGTTATTTTGAAATAGTTGACCAGAAGGTTCATGCGTATAAGTGTTCGCTGCCGATTTTTTGCTGGACGTCGATAATTTGTTACCTCGAGAAAAGTAAGTCATTATGGCAAAGTAAACATGAAAAGCTGATAGACACTTCATGGACCGACATCAATTAAATCTATTTTTATACCTAGGATGATAGTGTGGGAACACTCTTGCGAGTCTTGTGTTTTTGCATCGATTCGTGTTTTAACTGTGGAAAGTCAAAATAGGTTTATATGAGTTGAATCGTTTTTGGGACGATATGATGTACCTTTGACTGTCAGATTCATTTCGGCTGTGTCGGATCCTAGCTCGTTCTCTGCTGTGAAGGTGTATTTTCCAGCATCCGAAGATTCCACGTCTTTGATAACAAGAGAGACACTTTCTTCATCTTCATACAGGATTCTGGAAAAACAATATCATTTTTGATTAGCTCCAAAAATCAATTGATACTTGGCAGTGAGATATCACGAATCAACTGATTCCTTTCTTTTGATTCAAACATAATTTATTTAATTAGAAACAAAAATAAACATTATTATACAGTGTCATCCCCAAAGTATGCACCATATGGAAAACTTATTTATTAAGTGTTTTTCGACAAAAAGTTATTCTTGATAAAAGTTTGTGCATTCTCTGAAACTAAACATGCCCCAACAAAATACAGTAAAATCCACGTAATATACGAGGAGCCTTCAAATATTTGATTTTGAGACAGGAGTAAAGTACTCTTATTTTGAAAAATCTCTGGAAATTTTATTTGAGAAAGGTGTTCAGCATTAGAAAATAGATCTAGATTTGGAGTAATGGCCATCTAAGCGAAGTTTAATTTAAACGATAAATAGACAGCATAAATAGGCGACGGTCATTTTAAAAGCCTGTAATATAAGAATTACACAACTATGGTCTCAACCACGGTCAATTTTTTTGAAGAGTAAAATAACTTTCAAAGTTTTTGGTGCAAAGTTATTTTTAATTTTTGTTAACACTCGCCACTTGTTACTCAAAATTATACTGCATTGTAACAAGAAGTTAACATTCAATAATATCAAATCACAAAACATCAAAGTAAAATAGGTATTTCGAAACAAACTCACTGATTTTCCGGAGATTTTCTTGTCCAAACTAATTCTCTAAAATAATCTCCAGAAAATCAATGAGTTTGTTCCAAAATACTTATTTCAAATTAATGTTTTGTGATTGGATATTTTTGAATATTAAGTGCTTGTTACAAAACTATATAATTTGGAGTAAGTTTCGATGTTAACAAAAAATAAAAATAACTTTGCACCAAAAAATTTGAAAATTATTTTACTCTTCAACAAAATTGACCGTGGTTAACACTATAGTTGTGTAATTTGTAATTTTGCAGGATTTCAAAATGAACCAACGTATACAGGATGCTGTCTATTTATCGTTTTAGCAAATTTTTTCTTTGTAGTCCCATTTAAAAAATGGGTAAAAAATGAAACTCCACTTAGATGGCCATGACTTCAAATCTAGATGTATTTTTTAATGCTGAACAACTATTCTAGATAACATTTCCCGAGATTTTTCAAAATAAGAGTACTTTACTCTTTACTTTACGTGTGTTTTACTGTATTTTGTTGAGGCATGTTACACCAGTCATTTAAGCTTAAATTGGGTAAGAATCTTGGAATTGGAGATACCCAGCTGTAAGTCTGTAAATACTTGTATATTGACACCCTAAAAGTTGTCTCAAAACAAAAATCGTTTTTGCGCTTTTTTTGTAAATATCTCATTTCCTATGGGTTTTTGCTATTTGTTTTCATCATCAATATTGTAGAATACAAAATTTTCTACAAATTCTGTTTAAAAAAATGTTTCATACGGTGAACCGTTTTCGAGATAGAGGACGGAGAGCGCGTGGTCACAGGATCACTTTAGGTTAACCGGTGCCTTCGGTCGAAAACGCGTGGATCAATTGTTACTCTTGCAAAGAATTACTGTCAGCAAACAATTTGAAAGTAATTTTGAAGAATATCTTCAATATGAATTGAGTCCGTATCCAACAGCTCTATTTGATAATGATGGCATGAGAAAAACAACAAAATCGTCAACCGCGTGCTCTCCGCCCTCAATCTCGAAAACGGTTCATCGTATAAAAAAAGTTTTTCAACAAAATTTGTAGAGAATTTTATATTATACAATATTGATAATAAATACAAATAGCAAAAAATCCATAGGAAATGAGATATTTCCAAAAAAAGCGCAAAAAACCGATTTTTGTGACCTTTGACCTTGAAATTTAATAGTTGCGTACACCCTACCATATGTAGGTTTTGAGACAACTTTCAGGGTGTCAATATACAAGTATTTACAGACTTACAGCTGGGTATCCCGAATTCCGAGGTGAACTTACTATAATGACTGGACTATGTTTAGTTTCAGGGAATGCACAAACTTTTATCAGGAATAACTTTTTGTCGAAAAACCCTTAATAAATAAGTTTCCCATATGGTGCTCACTTTGGGGATGACATTGTATATACATACATAATATAACGGAAAATCATGAAATAACAGAACATTATACGATGAGGGACTATTTATATTTTGGGAACTGGCAACACTAATGTCAATAGGTAAAATGTGGCAACACCATTTTTTAGCATAAACGTACTCACAAAAAGTTTTGAGGTACAAGTGATATTTGTTTTATGTACAGTGAGTTAGAGAGCCCGCACACGAGCCACATTTAGCGGTCGGATCGACCACACAATTGCAGTCGCATTCCAGCAAATTCAAGCCGCCCATAAGAAATACTGTACTACACGTATACGGGAGTTCACAAAAGTCAAAACGGGCTTCTGCAGTCAACTTGCTGCTGATCTCCGCCAAGATGTCATCGCGGCATCCGCCGTACACTAACCACAAACTTGCAGTCGTTCACAACCGCGTACACCGTCGTGCACTTTTTCTCCTATTGGTCTCCCAGCGTTCAATTTTTAATTTAGAAATTCTAATTAATTCATCAAAAAAACTAATGGACATTCTGAAGTAATTAAAAAAATGTTTTTCGTCTTGCCGGAGTTGTCCGGTTGTTGCTTGTATGTTATTTCATTGTAATTTCAGTTTTTTGCTTGATAAAATTGGTTTCTTCAGCTAATCTTTTTAATTTCTATACAGCTTCTTTCATGGATTTCAAATCTGTTTAAAAAAATCTGTTTAAAATCTGTTTTTTCCGTTAACCAGCTGTCGCACCCTTACGAACGACAACCCTCAGAAGTCGAAACTTGTGCGAGCTAAGGATTAACGAGGTCTTACCTTTTAACGTGTGATTCCTAACACTAACATGATATCATATTAGACAATGGAAGTCCGAACTGATGAAACGCACCACGAAACATTGTCAACCACCTTCAAACAAAATATAAAAATTTCCTTCCTGTTGTCGCGCAACCATAAGTGGATGTATCCAAAACGGTACGCATCCGCGTACCTTCTTTGTGGACGGACGTTATCAGCACGTCCGTTCACTACCACGGCCACCACGAAACTCCCAATGACTACTTATGATACAATTGCCTGGTGGCCGTAGGCTTTACAGAAAACGGCCCAGGCAAAGATCTCTGGCTCACAGAGATAGGCTTGTCTGGCCATCAGTGGTGCCATCAGTACACACCGTCAGCGGCCATGGAGATCCTTCTAGATCTACCTGGATTGCATATAGACTTGTGCACATTGCCAATTGCACAAATCAATTCAATGCAGAGTGCAACAGACTGTTGGTTGACATTGGAAGTCACAGCATTCTAGAAATGACCTCTGACTTTATGCATCTAACTGTCAACTACGAACTGCCTTATAAAGTACTGTTCCCGATTAGAGAGGACTGGATCCTCCGGGAGAAGGAAATATTAAGAGCAGATAGTTGTTGGTTCACAGATGGATTAGAAAGACCCTCTGGTTCGGGTGCAGGTGTTTTCCGTCGCACACCCAGGACAGAGATATCAAGGTACCTAGGAACCTATGTGACTGTATTTCAAGCGGAAATTCAACGGAGAGATAGGAGGAATCCAACCTCATACACAAGTCAATGAAGATATTCTAGGACAGCCAAGCGGCGTTGGAAGCTCTTGGCTTCTACCGAGCAACGTCTGAATTGGTAGCAAATTGTCAAAAACGACTCTCCCCAATAGGAACACTTAACAGATTGTTTCTGGTCTGGATTCCTGGCCATACTTGCTTGTAAGGCAATGAAGTTGTTGACTCCATTGCAAAGGAGAGTGATGCAAGCAGCTTCATCGGACCAGAATCTGTCATCGGCGTCGCCTTAGGCTTTGCCAAACAAACATTGAACACCTGGACGGCAAGAAGATTCATGGACTTCTGGCAGAATCTTCTAGGATTGGCTCACTCCAAAGCGTTCATTTACCCTTCGAAGCTTGACACCAAACAGTTGTTGGACTACAGTATGGATGAACTACGATAGATAGATAGATAGAAAGATAGATATATTTATTTGACAACTTCACACTTGAATGTTTGTTGCAAGTCAGTTAAAATGTACATAGATAAAGAAAAAAACTAGTCACAAGTTAAAAATATTGGATCATAAATTGTGAATAAATGAAATGAAAGATAATTTTGAACAATACAAAAATCAGTCTAAAATTTTTGAAGGTGTCAAAAAACAAATATTATGTAAAAACATGAGCTTCACATATCAGATGAAATAAAATTAAATCTAGATCGGCATAATTGAGGTACTTAAATAATCTTGAGTACTATAAAAATATTTTTCCAGGAGTATAGTTCTGACTCTGTTTTTGAAGCAGCTTTGTTTGAGCACTTTGAACGAATTAGGAAGATGATTGTAGAGATTGATATTTAATGAATTTTCAATAGAACTTGTGAGTTTGTATCAAAGCTGTATGAACAGATCTGCATTTCTTGTAGCATGATGATGAATATCCTGATGCTGCGAATAGATTTATTTATTTTTATGGATTTCAAGTAATTGACTATATATGAATAGCGATGGTAGTGGTAGTACCTACACCCATTTTTTATAATTATTGGCATTCATCAATATTCTGACTGCTTTTTTCTGAAGTCTGAAGATTTTAATGGAGTGAGAGGAATTAACCCACAAAACTATGCCATAATTCATATGCGAGTGGAACAAAGCAAAATATGAACTTCTAAGGGCATCAAGAGACAATACTCTATTGAGCTGTCGAAAAGCAAATATACTCTTACACAGCTTCTTACTCAGTTCATCAATGTGTGCATACCATTATAAATTCCGGTCAAGAGTGAGTCCTAGTAGTTTCGCAGTATCATCGCCTTCATCATTTGAAATTAAATAAGAGCAAGACCTTCTGGGTCTTGCTCTTATTTAATTTCAAATGATTTGTTGTGTTACAGAGACGCCTGTCTCAGAGTATAATCAGTAATTGAAGGTAATTCGATTATGTTTTTCTGAGACGTTATTAGAGTTGTGTCATCTGCGAAAACAACACATTTACCTGGTGACATAAAATGACTGAAGTCATTGAAATATATCAAGAATAGCAATGGTTCCAGAACGGATCCCTGCGGTACACCATTCTCAATAGTTTTATTGTCAGACATGTTTCCATTCACACACACAGATTGGGTTCTGTTACATAAGTTTGACTGAAATAAACTGAGTGGTAGCCCCCTCACTCTATAAAACTCCAACTTTTTGAACAGAACATCATGCGAAACGCAGTCGAATACTTCAGAAAGATCACACATGGTTAATATAACGTGTTCACCTCTCTCAAGACCCTCGATAACCAGACTCACAGTTTTTCGAATTGCATCTGTTGTTGATCTACCCGCTCTGAATCCGTATTGATCTTCACTAAATAATTTTTTATTGATAAAAAAGTTCACGAGCCTGTTCTTCAAAATACTTTTAAAGACTTTTCTCAAAACGGGAATGATTGATATTGGTCTATAGTTATCAACCAGAGACCTGTCTCCTGTTTTAAAAAGAGGCAACACCTTTGTACATTTACACATGTCTGGAAAACACCCTTTTTGTATACACGAGTTGAATAAAAATATCAGAGGATCTATAATTTCTTCAATTTTACCCTTGATCATTGCACTGTTCATACCGTAAATATCTAAGCAAGAAGAATTTTTCAAGAATATCACTGCATCAATTATTTCTGATGGCGTTACAGGTTCAAGAAAGAATGAAGAACATGATGATTTAGCACCATTAAGTGAATCATTCGAAGTGAATTGGACTTCGGGTAGTTCTGAAATAACATTTTCTGCTATATTAATAAAGAATTTATTAAAAATATCTTACAGGCCTTCTTACAGGTCATTGTCATTTGAAATATCATTTGCAGAAACTTGGACTGTCGAAAGACAGTGTGTGTCGCCTCTTATTGGAAAACGATGAAACAGAGCATATACTTTGTGCCTGCCCCGCAGGGGACCGAAAAAAACACTACGTAAAAAATGGTACCGTTGAATCACACGTGTTAGGAATCACACGTTAAAAGGTAAGGCCTCGTTAGTCCTCAGCTCCCACAAGTTTCTCAACTTCTGAGAGTTGTTGTTCGTATGGGGGCGACAGCTGATTAACAGAAAAACAGATTTTAAAAACAGATTTTTTTAATACCCCAAAATGTATCAATCACTGAAAGGAAGGCTTGCGTCAAGTGGTACGGAAACTATTAAACAGTTCGATCGTGGTACTTCAAAAGCCGTGTATAAAATCGCGACAGGTGACGAATCATGAACATATGCGCGGAAGCAAATGGTCACTTATTTCTTCTGAAAAATTCGTAAAACTAACCGCCGAAGACGAATCTTTCTCCATCATGACAATGCGAGCTCTCATCTCGTCAATCAGATGAACTCAATTGATGACTTATCCTCCGTACAGTCCTAATTTGACACCCAATAAATTCTTCTTGTTACTGAATATCAAAGGTAAACTGCGTGGTAAACAATTTATGATTGCCGAAGAAGCGGTTGGAGCGTTCAAAAATCATGGTTTGGAGAAACGGAAAAACTTCTTTGACAAATGGTTCGAACGAATCATTCAGGGGAATATTTCGAAAAACACTAACGTCATCTTCATTAAGAAATGTTTGTTATAATTTGCTATTACTGAAATATAAATAGTACCCTATGGACATTACACAACATTAAAACATGTATTGAACAGAAGTCATTTCTTGTGGGGAATCAACTAATATACTCAGATTTTTCCAATTCTGAAGACGGAGACAGATTTCGGCGATCAAAACGTTGAGATTGATTTTTTTATGATAGGCAAAATTATTAAATACAAGTCACTGATGAATATAACTTTTTTTTTGTGAAAAATACTTTAATTTCACGAAGTAACTTATCGGGGTGAACTAAAAAGTTTGACCTTCCTACACGTGAATAAGGTTCAAATGTTTTCCAAAAATTTTGAAAATTTACTCAATAAGGATATCGGACAGTAATTTTTTGAATCTCCGGCACTTTCACATGCAGTTCTGACTGATTTTAGAGAACTTCTGCTTAAAACAGAGCAACAACAATTTGTAAAATGAGGTAATGAAATATCAGTTTCACTCACTTGTGTTTTTTAGTTGACTCAATCGTCTTCCCCTCATGCTTGAATGTAATATTCGGTTTGGGGTAGCCCTTCACCTGCAGCTCCAACATGGCGGATCCTCCCACGTTGACGATGGGGTCCTTCTTGATAACGATAAGCGTAGGCTTCTCTGGTTCTCTGAACAGCTGGTTAACGGTTCCGTGGACAGTCAGCTCTGCGCTGCAGCTGATGTGGCCTCTGGAGGTTTGAGCCACGCAAGTGTAGAGACCCACGTCATCGGGCCGAACCTTCTGGAAGACCAAAGCGAGAGAGTCTTCGTCATCGCCCATGAGGACTTTGAATCGTTCCTCTGGCTCGAAGGGCACTCCGTCTTTCTTCCAGTGGAAAACGGGTTTTTCTCCGGGTGGGAGGGTTTCTCCTTCCGGCATATCATCGAATACGTGCTTGTTTTCTGGAAGGAACATCAGTTGTGTCATTAATTCAGATAGAATGAATATAGTTAGAAAAACTAAAAAACACGCTTTTGAAGAACATCGAACTGAAAAGTAAAAAAAAAAATAATTAAGCTTAAAACAATAACGAACCAAAAATGCCAAAGCGCCCACGCTAGAAATTATACTTAAAAAAGGAAAATTATTTTCCACAAATGAATTATATCGTAAAGCTAACGTAATGAATACTAAACAAATTTATATATACCACTGTATTCAATGGATGATGAAAACCAAAACCTACACATATACTAGTCATTCCTACAACACGAGGTCTATTTCTAATAATCTAGTGTCTGTTCCATTTTACAAAAAGTCTTTACCACAACGATTCATAACTTATTTCCGCCCAAAACTACTCAACAAGGTTCCAGAATATATACGAAAAATCAAATCAAAAGACTGATACGTGAATTCCACAATAAATTCTAATCTAGATATAAGCCTAAAATTTTTACCTCTTACTCAAGTTCTAGCACATCATTACTGAGATTAAGAAAAACGCTTTTGTAACCTTAATTTGTTCTGGAGATAATTGTATAACAAGATTCATCAAAATTCAAATGTATCTCATGAGATCCTAACCAAAGATATATTATCAAGACTTCTAGAATGGATTTTTCAATGATATTGTAGTAAACAGTTATATTATCAGCAAAAAGACTGATAGAACAGACACTATATAAAAATAGAGAAAAATATTTAAAACTGATAACAAATTGGTGAATGAATGTACTAAATATCTAATTAACACAATAGTATATTAGACATAAATATAAATGGTCATCTGAGTCCATAGTATGTGAATGAAACATTGATTAAACTTACTTCAACATTGTTGCAATGAATATCAAGCAGTTTCTGATATGTCTAGATAAGATATGTGCCCTTTTTAGAGAATCAACCGGAGCATCATTGAATTTGTAGGCCTCAATGTTGTTTCTGCTCAATTGTTCAATTTCCGTCTCATTTTCAAGAAATTCATCAAATAAACTGTGCACAGTGGAACATAATTTCTGGAGAGATTCTGAAAAATTGTTCATATGATTCACTCCCCCTACTCCACCACCTCCAACCTAAAAAATATAAGTATTGAAATTGTGTGTAAAGGACAGATTTTTTTTGTCATCTGCATTTACCCTTATTTTTTATACTGTTTTCAATCACTTTATTTATTTAAATTCAATTTAAGATTTTTTTCTTTGTAAAATGACTCTCTAGGACAGAGGGAGTTGTAATACAAGCCATAGGCTTAGACACTGCACCTAGTGCATAAAATCCTATGTGTGTGTGTTACCACACAACCGACTTGTCTACTGGCCTAGTTTACAGTTTCTTCCATGCTCCTTCAGCCTTGTTTCCACGAATCATTTGGTCGTTCCGATGTATACCTTCCCACAAGTGCGATGTTCCCTTGCTGGTGAGGCTTTGTTGCATCTCCTTGGTAGGTTTGAAAACCGGTTTAATGTTGTGTTTCCCTAATAGTTTTCCAATTCTGTATGTGATTCTAGGATATATGGTAGATACACACACGTGCAACCACTTGAGCATTCTCCCTGTTTTGAACCGTGGAACTCTTATCTTAAGGAAGAACTGGAACATCGTCAAGAGACCTTGAGATTGAAACTGAAAATTTCCACGGTTCAAAACGGGGAGGAGGCTCAGATGGTTGCTCTGAGTCACAGACAGAATTCAGGGTACCGAATGAGAAAAAAATCACTGATATCTTATTCAGAATGCATAGAAGGAAATATATATTTCAAAATAATAACCTCTCCTAATTACCTACACGGTAGGTTGTGGTAAAAGTCTGTCGCGAAACAACTACTTCCCCGGCTAATACCACGCTGGATATTAAATTACCACACCCTACTGTATAGGTAGTTAGGAGAGATCATTATTTTGAAATATTTATTTTCTTATACGTATGTATCTCTCCTTGATAGTTTTCACTTTTGATTTCTAAATATCAATACAGTTGAATTGTTCACAGTTCTTGAATACATATGAAACTTTCGGAAGGAACGGTCATCTTTTAGATAATCGGTTGCCCGAATATTCGATTTGTTCAAGTCTCTCCTGTCTCAAGCAGTCACTTTCAGTTTTTCAGTTTCATTGCATCAAGGACCCCATGAATATAACTCTCATTTCAATAGTTTTGAACGTACCTGAGACAGTAACGGTGGCTTCAGATGAGGCTTCTCCAAATTTGTTCGTGGCTACACATTTGAAAAGACCTGCGTCAGATTTTTTCACCACAGGGATGACCAGTTCATAGAAACCTCTATCGGAGTGTTCTCTGATGATTTGATAACGTTCATCATTCTCTTGTATCTTCTTTCCCTCTTTGAAGCTGTAAAATCGAGTATTTTTTCAGTATTGTATCCAGGGAAATCATGCCTGACTATTCCAGGAATAACTAAATCAATGTTGGGAAACAATTTTCAAGACTCAAACTGATCGGTTAGTAAATAATCATGCTGATGAAACTTGTATTTTCAAAGGTAGGTAATTTACTCACAATGATACTTCTGGATTAGGTTCTCCTGCAATTTTTACCATGAAACGAAGATATGTGTCTTCCAGTAACTCTGCGTTTTTCATCGAGACCAAAAATTCTGGTTTATCTGTGCTTGCCCGTGTTGTCCGTTCTTCTGTTGTAACTGTAATGAGGTCTTTTAGTACTACATTACTACATTACTACAGTACTACATTACTCTAAAACGACATAAACTCAGAGATGGTTACATCGAAAAAAATTTAATATAGCCAGGGTCTTCTAACAAAAGTTTACGGCAGGTAAAATTCCATTTCTGTTGAACTTTACTGTGACTTCATATACAGGGTGTAACACAAGTACATTAAAATATTCAAGTTTACGTAACTTGAGACAATTTTAAGAAAAAAAGTCTATATGAACTTGTGAAAATGCTTCGTTTCGGAGACACGGGGTGTTGAAATTGAATTTTTTTGTTCGCTTTTTTAAAATAACTCTTGCAAAAAATAAGTTATTTGCACGAAATTCGATGCCCGGGGTTTTTTGACGTGGGAAATCATGATTTCCTATTAATTTCCATGTAACATATAGAGGGCGCTGCGTACGCTGTCATTATTTATTTCAAATTGCCCTAACTTTTTTGACAGTAAACTTTTGGTACTTTTCATGAAAAAACCTAATTCCCACACCTTTTCCAAGTAAAAAAGGTACACTTCCTCAACAACGCTGGGGGTGATCGTTTTCGAGATATCTACAATTTTCTATATCGATGCATATTACTTTATTGCCAAATTTGATTTCAATAATGTTTGTCACTCTCCGCTTGCAAATTAAGGTAATTAAATCGAGTAGGCTATGAAAGTTTGTTTATAAAAATAGAAGTTCGCTGTCACATTTTCAACTATTAATTGACAAATTCACAGTTCGGAGTTTATAAAGGGTTTTTTTGGTACCATGACCGACTTTACGGATGCTGAAATGGCTGATATGGTTTTTGCATACGGCTTGGCTGACGGAAATTCAAGCGAGGTCAGACGCATCTATCAGGAAAGGTATCCCCAACGCGTGACTCCTTGTGCAGCGACATTTGCGAATATTTTCCGGCAACTTTCCGAATCTGGAAGCTTTGAAACAAATTCTGTAGTAGGACGGCCACGGACTACAAGAACTGTAGAATTGGAGAAGGCGGTTCTCGAAGGAATTAGTGAGCATCCAGAGATAAATACAAGAACAATTAGTCAAACTTCAAATGTGAGTCACATGACAGTTTACAGAATTTTAAAGGAACAGCAATTATATCCTTATCATATTCAGCGTGTTCAGGTACTTACGCTACGTGATTTCCAACCACGTATCGAATTAGCTCAATGGCTTCAAAGAAAAGTCGAACAGCATCCGCAAATTTTATCGAAAATCCTCTTCACAGATGAGGCTAATTTTTCAAGAAATGGTATCATGAACTCCCATAACAACCACATCTGGCGGAAGATAATCCACATGCGATAACGCAAACTCATTTCCAAGACAGATTCTCTTTTAATGTATGGGTAGGCATAATTGGGGATCATTTAATTGGGCCCTATTTTCTCCCCTTACGTTTGAATGGTGATGCTTACCTACATTTTTTGGAACACGAGCTTCTCCAACTTATGAAGATGTTCCCATTGGTCTCCGAAATTACTCTTGGTTCATGCACGATGGAGCTCCTGCTCATTTTAGTATGATAGCAAACATTTTTTTAGACGTAGCATATCCCCAACGATGGATAGGAAGAAGAGACACTGAGCATTGGCCCCCGAGGTCACCAGACCTCAATACCGTCGTTTTTCTTTTGAGTACATCTAAAATCACTAGTTTATGCTAGCCCCATTGAAAACGAGGAAATGTTGAGGGATCGCATTATAGCTTGCTGCAAAACGATAAGAAACACTCCGGGCATTTTTCAACGGGTGCGGAATTCTTTGATGAGGAGAGCAGAAGCTTGTATTACTGTTGGGGGTCGTCACTCTGAACAGATGTTGTAAAAGTTGTTTCATTCAATTTTTATATGTTTATTTTCCCAATAAATAACATAGTACTTCTTCGAATTGTTTTTAATTTGGATTGAATAAGCAGTTCGATAATGCTCGGTTTAGAAGAAGTCTGTACGGGTATACTGCGTATAAAGTTTGATGAAAATAACTTCACTTAGCGCCCTAGGAGTTAAGTAATATGCATCGATATAGAAAATTGTAAATATCTCGAAAACTATCACCTTCAGCGTTGATGAGGAGGTGTACCTTTTTTACTTGGAAAAGGTGTGGGAATTACGTGTTTTCATGAAAAGTACCAAAAGTTCACTGTCAAAAAAGTTAGGCAATTTGAAATAAATAATGACAGCGCCCGCAGCGCCCTCTAGATGTTACATGAAAATTAATACGAAATTATGATTTCCCACGTCAAAAAAACTCTGGGTACTGAATGTCGTGCAAACAACTTACTTTTTGCAAGAGTTATTTTCAAAAAGCGAACAAAAAAATTCAATTTCAACACCCCTCATCTCCTAAACGGAGCATTTTCGGACACAAGTTCATATAGACTTTTTTCTTGAACTTGTCTAAGGAATACGTCACTTGAATATTTTAACGTACTTATGTTACACCCTGTATAAAATACGATGTGGTTTATTCTAACTGAAAAAGTAGGAACATTTCATATTATCAGTCCCAATGTTTGATGAACTTAGATATTGTTTGTAGAGTATAGGGGGGAATCCCCTAACGCCAAAATGGTTTAGATATGAAATATATACTTTTGGCGACTATCTGTCACTTAATAGCTGACAAAAATTAGTCTCTTAACGTCAAAGGTCTGAAAAGTTCGTTGACACAGTTGGCACTTCTGGTATTGAATCTATATGATTTTCAGTTAACCCTAACCTTCAAAACACACGTGTTGATTTTTGGTGAGAAAACATACTGTTTTTGAATTTGGAAACCATTTTGTTTTCCTTGTTTCGCAACGAAAACGTTTCATATTTCATAAAATCCCCATTGTACCTATATAGAAAATTGGCAACTCGAGCGATACATTTTTCACAAATATCAATGCTAAATAAACCCAATTGATAATATTACCTCCCATATACATTATTTTTCTATGAGGATGTTCAATTTTTCATATGCAGATTTTTTTTTCAATAATGGTGTTAAAATTATCAAGATACAAGCATTATATGGAATTTCATTGAATGAAACTTTGATACTCCATACATACAGGTGAATAATTCTAAAATGACCAATGCAGTAATATCTAAAAATTTCATTCGTAACATTATTTCCTAATCGCATTTGATTTGTCATACCGTATATTGTTTGGAGCATTAGTACGAACGCAACTATATTGAAAATCATTATTTATATCCCGGAAAAACAAAAGAGATTACATTTTTTCAGAAGACAAAAATCGATATTCTCTGCACAAAGAAATCGTTGTACATGGCGCTATTCAGTTGTTTCTAGGGTGAGAAATGTGATATTCAGAAACAATTGAAAACCTATTTCGGTTCGACCGGAAATGAACCCAAGACAAGAATTTTGAGTATAACCCTGTATATTTTTTCAGGTCATTCAATAGAATATGAAAACCTCTTTCCGAAGATATTACACAAGTGACCAATTTTTTTTTAAATGGTATATGTGTCATTTTCTGCTCATTCATTATGGTGGTCATTATTATGAAGTAATCTATGGAAATATGGAAAACAATTTGATGTAGTTGAGAAGCAGAGGCTCATTTGAGAATGGAAATTGAAGAATTAATCAGATCACGAATATTGTATTTGACTTTTTAAAATTTTTACTTCATTTTTCTCAAAAATTTTAGTCGGGAGTCGTATTTTTTCATAACCTCCTGTATCACAGAAATGTCTGACACTATTTGATGAATATTTCTGTGACAGTTGAATTTTGCATTATTTTATTCAGTCAAAAATTCATAAAAAGTACGTATGTCTATTAAGGAAAATATTCATTTAACTAGAAAAATCCTGTTTCAAAATTTACTATATCGCTCATCTTCGTCATCAACAGTTTTGACTTTATGAGGGCTGTACAATAACTTATCAATCCCAGTTTTACGGGGGTGGTACAATAATTAACCAACTAGACTATATATAATATATACGAGGGGTACTCCACAAGTAGGTAGTTGTTAGTAAACACTCCGATGATTAGGTTACATGAGAGGTAGAAAAAAACTCTGAACAAGCGCAAATGCTACTAACGTTCATGCACAACAAGCTGTGCTGAGCACGTGGTCTTCCCGTTCTTGTTCTGCGCCACTGCCGTATAAATCCCCGCGTCTTCTTCCTTCACCTGCTTGATGACCAGCTTGAACTCGTGACCCTTATCGCAAGCCGTGGCCTGAATCCTCCCAGAGAGATTATCGTCTTCGTTGAGAGTTTTGTTGTCCTTCAGCCAGATGAAGGAGTCTGGCTGGGCGCTCAAAGATATTTCGAAGTGAGCGGTTTCTCCAGCTAGTGTTAGAAAAGTAATAATTTGACTACGTGGTTCTGATCATCGAGGTACAACAAAAGTGTTGACTACGTTTGGGCCATTATTATGGAATGGCACGTATTGTTGAATGCTACATACGTTCATGGTAATTTGGCAAAAAACAGACTGAATAAATGACAACTAATTTGACAGATGTGGCTTCAACAAGATGGCTGTTATCAATTGCAAATTTCGGAAGTCCCTCTTGCAAGGCCCTATATAACACCAATAGTGCCAGTTTCGCCTAGTGACATTTGTAGGATATTTTGGGGAAGTCCTAGGAAGTCAAAAATGTTATTATTTATGTTCCTCAGTGATACTGTTTTTGGTCCACTTTCTTAATCTTCCCAACAGAGATGGAACGCCCTATCTTCCAACAGTCCAAGTTTATTTAATTGCTGCCGATGATAGTAGTAGGCCTATAAGGTAAAGTAGGTCATTCCTGATGTAGGTAGGTCTAGGTAGCAACCCATAAGGGTTTATTGTGGCAGATTGGTTTGTATGGTGAGTGGTCTTTCAGGTCAGATGATGAAAGTACGGATCTGGCGAACTCAAAGAACCTGATTCGGTGCCCAGCTGGGCAGGCACGAAGTATATGCTCTGCAGTTTCATCATTTTCCAGACAGAGGCGACACACACTGTCTTCCGACAGTCCAAGTCTCTGCATGTGATGATTCAAGTGACGGTGACCTGTGAGAAGGCCTGTTAGACATCGTAGTTCATCCATACTGTAGTCCAACAACTGTTTGGAATCAAGCTTCGAAGGGTGAATAAACGCCTTGGAGTGGGCCAATCCTGGAAGATTCTGCCAGAAGTCCATAACTCTTCTTGCCATCCAGGTGTTCAGTGTTTGTTTGGCAAAGCCCAAAGCGATGTCAATGACAAGTTCTGGTCCAATGAAACCGCTTGCAGCACCCTCCTTTGCAAGAGAGTCAGCAGCTTCATTGCCTTCCAGGCCAGTATGGCCAGGAATCCAGACAGAGACAATCTGTTTGGTCTTCCTATCGAGGAGAGTCTTTTTTGGCAGTTTGCTACCAATGTAGACGTTGCTTGGTAGGAGCCAAGAGCTTCCAACGCCGCTTGACTGTCCGAGAATATTTTTATTGACTTGTGAGTGAGGTTGGATTTATCCAATCTCTCCGCACACAATTCAATAGCGTAAATTTCCGCTTGAAATACAGTCGCATAAGTTCCTAGGCAGGTAGATAACTCTGTCGTGGGTCTGCGACTGAAAACACCTGCACCAGAACCGGAAGGTTCTGTCTGTGAACCAACAACTATCTACTCTTAATATTTCCTTCTTCCTTCCTGATGTAGACTAAGGAATGTTAAGTGACATTTTTCAAGCCATGGAATAAACCATTTCTGATAGGATAGGAGTCTGAAACTCTTTTTTTGCGCCCAGGTATCCAATGTTTATTTAGCAAAACTATTTTCATTATTTTCCATGTATGGTTTCGGTTTCCACTTGAACCAATGACTAGTCATGTCCATTCTGGATTAAGGTTGAATGTGGCAGATCGTAGTTGGAGGCATTAAGACTGTTTGTGTGATTTGTATGTTTTTCATCTAGTATCTGTTTCCACAAAGATGTGGAGAAGAGGTATATCTAGAAGGTTTCTCACGGATAGTATCAAATTGGTAAAGATGTCATCGTATATAACAAACAAATTGTTTCCATTCTCCATGTAGGTTTTCTCCAGGTAATTTGAAGGAAACTAGGCAAACTTTTCCAAAAATTTATATAGCATTCAGTGCATACCAAAGTTCTACAAAGTAAAACGTTGAGCTGGTTTCCTCCATTTCATTGAGATCAAGTCTGGAATTTGAGACATTTCTCCCAGTATCTTTCATTCTAGAATTTGATGTTCCTAAACGTAGTCAACTGCATATGCTACGATGATCAGAACGCACAAGGTGGAGAAAAAGTGAGAAATAGGCCAACAGTGCAGCAAAAAGTTGTGCACCAAAAAAGTGGCGTGCTTAAAAAAATGGTTGGTGATATAGTGTGGTGTCTAACTACTCAACTATCTACAAAGAAGAGAGAGTTAGCATATGTGTGTTATGTTTCGTTTCCGAGAATTTACTGAGAAAAAATGTTAGAAAATCTGATGATACACGCGATGAAGAAAACAGTAGAATAATTATGGAAAAATTCAGTGTATTTTCAATTGATTTGGAAAAATATACCTACATATACCGAAGAGGAATGTAAAAATTGTTTTACAAAGTTACAACATAACTCAACACATAAAAAAAACTAATAAATAGAGTTTATTCTATGATTTTCACTATAAGGGTTTTACAAAAACCGCGAACGTGTTTCGCTATACAATAGCTTCTTCAAGCATAAGTTATGCTTACAATATCTTCTTCAAGCATAAGTTATGCTTGAAGAAGCTATTGTATAGCGAAACACGTGTCGCGGTTTTTGTAAAACCCTTATAGTGAAAATCAAAGAATGAACTCTATTTATTAGTTTTTTGAATATGGATTTTCATCAAGTATCTGCCAGTTCTATTCAATTATCAACACATTTTCATACCAAAATCTGCCCACGCCTTCAGAATTGAATAAAATAAAATTCTACTTGCAGTTTTTCCTTCGATTCGTTCTATTTTCAAACTTTCTTGACATATGTCAAAGGAAATTTATCTACTGCGTAGACATAGTTGCAACTTTACATCTTGCTGCAACTTATTATTCCAGTGGTACAGCTGCTATGATTGCAGAAAAATCATAATACTCAGCATTGCTGAGGTACTTCTGTTTCTTCCCTGTTGCAGTTGAAACCTTGGTGTTTGTGGATCTCAAGCTTCTGAATTGTTGAAAGTAATCGGTAAAAAAACTCTATTGATGATAACAGAACCTAGTCACTTTCAATTTGAAGAATTAGTATCGCCATTCAATTGGCTACACTTCCAGCTACTCAAAAATCAGATGAAATATTCCTGAACACACAAATTGAACAACATTTTTTTTAATTTATTCAAAATAGAGTGAATGAATTGACCATTTCCTGATTTTCTCAGAAAATGCAGAGATATATGAACAATTTCTGGAATTATCATCTCCTACCAAACTCAAAAGGTCTGCCATATATCTATTCAATTCAGTTTCAAGCAGTTCAACTTGGAGTTCCTTATCCCACTCATCCAATGATGGGGAGAATCATTGCCTCCGTGATTAATAAGAATCAAACAGCAATGGTAAACGTAGCATCCTCAGTTACAACAAAATTAGATCAGTGACACATTCTTCAGTTTAAACCTTGGGTTCAATGGTTGAAAAATATTGGCGATACCTGTTTCATGAACAGTATTACCAACGATTCATACGTGTCACCAATTTCACCAGAAGCATCTGTCACGGAAGCGACCTCTTTCATGAACAGAAGGAAACAGAGTTGCACCTTCGAGAAACATGAGAGTATGTTTCTTTATTCTGCTGTAACAGTATATGTGGTATTTATTTTTGATATTTGATTTTCTAGCTTTCTTCTGATTTTTTATGTAAACATTATGTGTATAATTATTGTTATGAAGACGTTGGCAGATTTTGGCCTCCGAAGATAGAATCTGTACAATTTATTATTCTTTTTTTTTTGATATTCAACATCGTTGAATACGGTTATTAAATATTGAAATAGTAAGTGAACTTTTCTCTGTGAAAAATAATTTGGATTAACGTAGAAACTTATCGGGGTGAAGTGAAGATTTACCCTTCCTACATTTGCATTAGATTCTTCATTACAATTTTGAATACGTAATCATTTGATAGAAAAAATGAGAGATTTCAGTTTTTGAGGAATCCTAATTTTGACGAATGTTTTGTCTTTGAGTAAACAAGATTTTTTTTCTTGATGCGTGGAGAATAACAATACTTCTATAAAATCACTACCTATTCAGTCGAATATAACCACAGAAATCTATACTCACGTTCTATACTGGTTCCACGAATGGTTTTGATGAACCTAGGCTTGTTATCAATTTCTAATTCCTCCAGTTTTTGTTCTGCTGATTTTTCCCTGACACTCCGTAAGGTTGCGGAGAGAGTATCATGCGATTCTTCCCCGTGAGAATTGATCTCCCTTCTTACCTCCTCTTTGGACTCAACCTCCTTCTGCTTTTCTCCACGAGTAGCTACCTCTTCATGAGAAGTGACTTCCTTTCGGGTTTCTTCATGTTCTTCTTTTTGTTTCATTTCTGTTTCCTTCTTTGTAGCCTTGGAGAATGACACCTCAACCTCTTCGGCAGGTTCCACTACTTCTTTAGTGACTTTTTCTTCAACTGAAATTGAAGTTGCATCCTCTGCATAAGCTTCGGATTTCACTTCTTTTTTGTAACTATGTGTGGATTCTGCAGCGTAAGATTCCGATACAATTGACTTTGAAGCGGAAGATTCTGATTTAATTCCGGATTGCTGGATTACAGTTTCAGATATTTTCACGGATTCTGTGGGAAAAAAATAGTTGAGAATGTTTCGTAAAAATATAATGAATGGATTTTGTAGTGAATCTACAAGTTTATTGAAAATCTTCTAAAAATATATAAATATGTACTTTTCTGTTTGTGAGAGCAGTGGATTTATGTGACCCTGGATTCAATTGAAAGGTTAACTTCATTCGATTTGACCTTTTTAGTAAAACCAAATGAGTTATGGACAAATGAGAATCTGAATGTCAGTTTACACTTGAGATCCGTAATATAAACCCACTATAAAAAGTATACTCCAATCCGAAATTCAGGGCAAATGACCAATGATTAGCCCGTGACCAGCTCGTGTTTTGTTGGAATCTGCAATGAAATTGGTTAAAGACCATAAACTACTACAAATGTTCTTTACTGTTTTGATACAGATGCATATTCAGATTCAGTGTGAAGTGCATCATCGTTGCATCCATTTTATTGAGTTCGGTTGTGTTAATTTTCAGTGGATTGTTCAAATAATTGTTTGGTCAATTGAATAATATATCCAGGACACTTCAACAGATACAGCTGATGAGGCTACAAAAATTTGTTTGTCTCTTCCTTGGCAGAGGTCTCATTCCTGCTTGAAATCCGAGGAAATTATTTTGAACGTTTATAACCATAAGACTCAAGAAAATACAGTGTTACTGGAAGATGAAATTGTGAACAAAGTGGCAAATAAAACAGGAGTGTGTGGTCGCAGCGTCTACGAAATTATCGGAGAATATATCACTAACCATACATTTCTGATGCAAAAAGCCAACCAAAATCGTAAAAATTGTACAGATTTGGTGAATGACTTCAATACAAATGCAATCAGAGTAACAGTGCATCAATATCAACTCGATATCAACAAGGAGTCTGGGCTTGATGAAGTGCCCGTCATAGTACTCAAAATAAAACGATTACAGTATAACAGTTTCAATGACATATAAGCATTTTTCATTGAATTTTTAACATGACTAGTAAATTTAAGATCAGTGTCAAGCATCAGCCCTAAGTTTTTAGCTGTATTGACAGGAGTCAAGATAGTATGACCTAGTTCTAAATGGAAATTGTTTCCTGCAAATTTACGATTCTTCTGCGATCCAAAATGCATCATCATTGTTTTATTAGAATTAACTTCCAAATCATGTTCACTTGATAGCCCATTGATCAAATCAAGATCAGTGTTGAAGAGATTTTGTGCCTCAGCATACTAATCGATTTTAAAGTGCATGTATAATTGTATGTCATCAGCATACGCCTGTATTTCGCATTTCTTGATAGACGAGATAATGTCAGTAGTATAAATAATGAACAATAAAGGTCCCAAAATGGAGCCCTGTGGTACTCCTGATAGAATATCAAGAGGTAAGCAGTGATGACTATCAACAACAACTTTATGTGATAGACCAAGTAAATAAGACCAGATGAGAAATAAGGCAGCACTATCAAAACCATATTATTTGAGTTTCATACAAATCAGCTCATGATTGGTGGTATCGAATGCTTTCGAAAAATCTAGTAGTACCAGAGTGGTAATCATTCCCTCATCAAATCCCTCAACAATGTCTTGTGTAACAGTAGCAAGAGCTGTAGCTGTACTAAAACCCTGCCTAAAACTACATTGCGATGGTGATAACAGATTTTTGATATTGAAATATTCATCAATTTGTAAATAAATAACTCTTTCAAAAATTTTACTCATGGTTGGGAGTGTACTGATAATTCTGAGATCAGAATAACTAGCTGGATCATTATTCTTGGGGATGGGTTTTCCAACGGCAATTTTCCACAAACGTTCAAAACAACAATTGATGATATGTGTAATATATTTATCTATGAACAGGCTAAAAAGTGTCAACATTCGTATTGGAATATTAACAACCCCTGAAGCTTGACTTTTAATGTCATTGAGGATTTCATGAATAGCTTCTTCAGTAGAGAATAGAAATGAGAAGTTATCTTGCCTGATCAAATAATTAGTGCTATGAAATTCAATATTATCATCAAAATTAATACAAACATTTTGTACGAATTGGGAAAATAGTTGTTTATTGCATCGGATTTCGAGAGGTGATTGGGATATGAATATTGTTTTTTTGAATGAGCATTGAGGTTAGAAAGAGCATTCCTGCTATATTCTTACTACATTGTTCTGTATTCTTCTTTCCCACGTAGTGTGCGCTGGTCAGGCCCTATCCCCCGAAGCCCCGATACATTCGGGAGGGCGCGCCAGCATTATTAACCAATGACCACTTCCCACACCATGGTGTAAGGGATCATCATGTCTGAGAATAATTATTATCATCATTATATTATTATAAGTGTATTGAGACTACATTGCAAAAATATTTTGTGCTCAATGCGGCCCTGGTGAAAAAATACATTCGCGTGCTTTTGTGTACATTCACTGAACTTTGGATTGGAGTACAGGGTATAGAATATATAGTTTATTAGTCAAAATTTGAGGTATTTGATTCGGTATGTTAGAATCAAGTATACATTGTGGTTTGAAAATATCGAATAAATTCATTAACTGCTTTCGTGACCTAACCTAAACTAAACCAACCACTCTACCAGAGTCATCACACATATAAAAACGTGTTAGATACAAAAACACAGTCAAAAATGGGAAAAAACGATGAATTCAAGTCGCATATGAATTGATCAGGTTTGGTTTCAGTGTTCTTAGTGAGTATTTATCTTATATTTTCTTGCTTTGAATTTTTTTTTTTGAAGATTTCTGCTGTGACACAGTGATGATCTATCTCATCATCTCGTAGATTCAGATTCAGATTAATATCTCTTGATTTTCAACAAAGAATTCACGATTTCAAAATGACCATTTTTGGTATAAACTTACCATCATCAACTCCAGACAACCTGGACCTAGATTGCTTCTCAGTAGAATCAGTTCTGGAGTACTTGACCCCATCCGTAACCTTTGAATTGATCTCAGAATCCTTCCTCAAATACTTCCTGGCATACTTCTCATACGCATCCTCCTCATCTTCCTTCTTCTTCTCACGAGAGTCCGTTCTCGAAAACCTTCTAGTGTAGCCAGCCTCTTCCTCGTCTTTGTGCGACCTGGAGTACCTCTTGCTATACTTACCTTCGTCTTCTTCAAGGTACAGCTTCTTGTCGGTGAGCGAGTCAGTTCTAGAGTATTTCCTTGTATACTTTGCGTACTTGTCCTCATCTTCATCGATGGAAGCTTTTTGGTCACTGGAGTCTTGTCTCGAATACTTCTTGCTGTATTTGTTCAATAAATCTTCTGTGTTTTCTTTGCCTTCCTCGATGGACATCGACCTCAGGGAGTATTTAGAGCCAAGTTCAGCACTAACCCCACGTTTAGAGCTGTAGCTGTAGGTGTCGTTGGTCTCGCTTGGTTCGATACCAGTGCCTTCTACAGAAGTCCTCAGGGATTTTCTGACTGAATAGTTATCCCCATCACTAACCCCTTCTATTCTAGACTTGACGCTACGTCTGGAGTAGGTGTAACTGTCATCGTCACCTAGACCGTCCCCAGCTAAGGCTCTGGAAGTTTTTTTGGTGTACTTGCTGTAGGAGTCTCCATCATCCCCTTTCTTTGAAAATTTCCGGGAGTAGCTGTAAGTGTCGCCATTGTCTTCTGAGATCCTACTCTTCCTACTGTAGCTGTAGTCGTCATCATCACCAGAGGCTGCTTTCCTTGAACTGTAGCTAGAAGTTACTGCCGACGAATCACCCAAATCTGCGCTGTATGATTTTTTCCCATACTTCGAAGATATGCTTTCATACTTCGAGCCTCCTGTGAGTGAGTCGCTACGCAATTTACTAGAAGAAGTTTCTGTGGTGTAACGAGAGGAAGTTAAACCATCGGAGGTGAGAGAAGATTGGCCAGACCTTCTTGTATATGAAGATTCGTACCCGCCTTCTGTGAACGAAGAGAACACTCTTGGTGTGGATTTATGTTTCTCACAACTTTGAAGCCCGCGGAAGCTTTATATGGTGCCAAGCGTTAGAAATACTCTGTGGCCGATCTTTAGATGAAATTGGGTTTATTTGTGTATTTGAGGTATCTGTGATAATGAATATATGTTGAATCATGAGTGATTTCCAAACATGGGGTCTTGTAAGTGTATCTCAAACATATATATCAGTATGAGAGCATTGGGTGAGCCTCTGGGTTTGAGACTTTCGATGTAAAATGAATCTAGTTATTCTTAATGAATTGTAATTCAGTTCTCATTTGAATTCTTATCCTACTCTCGGGTGGAAATCTAGCACTACTTTTTAATAACCATTCAAAGTTGGCAGAAGATTGGAAAATTACGTTGCAGTAATCAAAATGCTCCTCAGATTTGAGCAGGGAAAACCGGAGAAGCTCTTGTTTTTTCAGGACTGCCTGATAAAGAGGTTTCTAAACAATGATTACTTAAGAGTGGACGTACATGGTAAGGTCACATCAGAATTGCTCTGGATCAATGAAGTATTGTCAAGACAACAAACAATATTCACTCTGATATGAACAATTGGAATTCTGATGAATTAGTCAGTAGAAGTTAAAATGGGCTAATTGGGCTTCTATAGACCACAATCGTTTGGTGAAATGACATCCAGGTTCACAGCACCACCGGATGGCGTTATTTTCATTGACAAGATTATTCATTGTCAAATATATCAGAATCTAACATATAATCTAATAACTGTCACAAACGTCAACATCAGGAGGTGAATGTAACTGAATTACTTGTTTGGCGAATCGTTCATCGACAATAGGAGTAGCTTTTAAGCAGTTTCGGTCTCAAGTAAAAAAATCAATCTTCATCGACTTTCACATCAACTTCATTATCAGGGAATATTCATGCTTTTGATAGTATTAGTAAAAAAAACAAACAGTCAGTTAGCCAAATTTATTTACAGATCAGACTCCAATGTAACCAACTAACCTGACCGCGCAGAAGTATACTTTCGACTCATGTCGTCGCCTACTCCAACATTTACCTCTACACCAACTTTGAAATCCGTTAACACAATATCGCTGACTCCGGACTTCTCTACGCTGAGCAATTTGTCTATTGCGCTACCAGGCACCAGTTCCGGGGGTGGTTTGATGATATAGGGTATGACTTCCTCTAGAACCCTGGGTTTGTTGATCTGAATCAACGGTTCAACAGCTTGGATTTTCTTCAAGTGGTGTTCTTCGACTGCTTCCGACTCTGGTGTTTCAATTTGCTGAAGGGTTTCACTTTCTGACGGGGGAACGTCGGTTGTTGTGGTGGTGGTGAGGGGAAGGGAGGAGGGTGGTTCAGCGACAAGGGTTTCTGAGGAACTAGATGATTGTTCGGTCTTTGTTTGGAGTAATTTTAACTCTTTTATGAGGTTATCTTGTTGCTTGGATTGGCCGGGTGCTTTGAATTTGGGTTTTTCTATTGGCTTTGGTACAGCCTCCTTTGATTTACCTTCTCCTTCTTTATTTTTCACAGATTCTCGTTGTTTTGTCGCGAACTTTGGTGTCTCTGTTTTTGGCTTATCTGTCTTTGATTGTTCTTCGGGTTTGTCTACTTTTGGTTTCTTTTCATTGATATCTTTGATATTTTCTTTATCTTTGGATTTTTCGTCTTCTGATACTGTGATGAGTGGTTTGCTCAACTCCTTCGGTCCTTGTTTCGGTTCTTCTTCAACTTTCTGCTTTTGTTCGGAGTTCTTTTGGAGATCTTTTGATTTTCCAGAATCAACTGTTTTCTCAGGGGGTGAATCAGGTGGAAATTCGTCGCTTCCGGTTTCTTCACCTTCACCTAGAATGGATAATAATGCTTATAAAATATGTCATAAATATTTTTTGATAAAATCGGATTCAGAAGATAAGATTGGAAAATATTGGACAAGAAATACACCAATCAAGTTGGTCTGTTTGAGAGATGAAAAAACTAAAGACGCCAACCTAAAAAAGCAGTGCCTTTCTTGTGATTAATAACAGTGCTTGTTTTTGAATTGACTCTCTGCCAGAGGTTCTAGTTTAATCTTCTATTTTAGATAAACTTGAGTTGTTCACTTGAAGCCTCACAATGAAGATTTCTCAAGTATTGGCTAATTCCATCAAATATCTTGAAAAATTTGTGTCAGAAAAAAAATATTAATGAAGGAGAACAAATAATTATTGAAGATACTTACTATGATCCTTCGCAAACTCTCTGATTTCTTTCAACCAGAAGTCTTTCACGCTCCTATGGAGTTTTAGAGTGAGCGTTTGTTTTCCGACTTTATCGACTAATTCAAATGTGAGTTCGTCCTCTGGATGATCTTTGAGTTCGATTTGGGTAAGCTGAAAAACGAAACAATGATATAAATGATGTTACTAAATATCTACTCTCCTCGATTTTTGTTGAAATGTATATTCAATATTTTCCTGCAGGTTACATTCATGTACCAGAATCAATTGAATTGTAAGATGTTTGTTGTTCAAGCTGACGCTAACATAAACATATGAAATGGTTAATGACGTGTTTGGTAAAACCATAGAAAACATTAATTTAAATTTTTCTATCAGTCGGTATTGTCACTGAAATATTTGTACTTGAAAACTCAAATGGATAATATGATACTGGAACAAAAATATTGGACGGATATTCATTATTGATAGTGAAAAGTTTTTGATTGAGGCTTAACATCATTTTATTCGCAATGATGTTACATAACGTGATTCAATTGATAATTTTCCATTTAGAAATTTTGTTGGCAAAGAACAAATATATTTTTGGGAAACACGTTATTTTTTTCTCGGTGTTTTGAATTATTTTGAATTCATTATCCGGCCATTTACATTCAATAATGATAATGGATATTAAATATGTGAGAAAATATCAGTTCACCACCACAATTTACCAACAAAAAGCAAGCAAATACTCAACAGGTGACAGACGCATCAAATGCAAAGGACAATGCTCATTGAAATATGCTTGAAATTTTTGGTTTTATTTTCCATTTAATTATTCGTTATATCAGATTGAAAATATCGTATAAAAATCAGAAAGTAGTTACTTCGGCATTCAACGCCACATATTTGAAAAAGGAGTATTCAAGCTCTCTAGACCTCTTCTTGTATATATGCAATATTTTTTGTAAATGAATGTCATCAAACGCAAAAATCTTCTTGAAATATGAGACTGTACATTAGAGGTGGCATGGTTCTCAAAGGTCTTTCATGTTCCGATAGCTTTGTTTGGAATAGATGTCTTATTTGTCCCATATAGCTCTTTGAAAGCTTCTGCTTTCTATTAATTGAAATACATCTGAAATCGTATTGAGAAACGTTTCAGTTTGTTGGCGTGTGAAAAAGCATATTTCAACTACTCTACTAGAGTATGCTGATACACTTCTGGAGGCGTGTTGGGTGTCCTTGTTCATCTTTCACTGCCTGAACTACTGTGCATGCCGTTTTTGGCGAGTGCATTGGCTTGGGATATGGGGGTTAAGCAAACCGGCCATCGGATGCCTGCTTCCACATAGCCCCGCTGGATACGGGAATGACAGATTCACTTGTGGTTCTGTTATTCCCTAATCGAATGCATCCCAACGATGGCTTAATCTTGAGTTGTATGTTTGTGTACCTTTAAAGACAGGTAGCTGGGGTTTATTGTTCATTATCTCTCCTTTTCTATTGAAATTATCCCTGTGTTTTTGAATTTCTATTGACTCTCTACATACTTTTGGAAAGTGATCCAAAACATTGGCAAAAATAAGGGTTTAACCACGAGTTTACTGAAAAGTAATGACTAACGATAATGATGACGCCCTACTCACCCGAACGCTATCCTTCAGTTGAAAGATGGACCTATCTTCTGATATCCTTCTAACTTTGCAAATGAGTATACGTGCTTTGAATAAAAAGAGGTACCGCTCTTTGCTGATACTTCCGAATGTGACTGTGAATCTGTCGTGGGCCAAAAGACGTCCCAATTTGTGGATGTTGCCTTTGTATCCTTCGATGCTCGAGATGAATTTATCGTCTTGGGCTCGATGGGGGACGCTCAGCATCAAATCTAGGGCCTTCTGGAGATCGACGTAGTTTTCGCCGAGACAAGCGCTGTACCTTACCAACTCCTGAAAGAAGACGGAATTGATATTGAAACTTGCAATAAAATGAAAAAAAGATGGATGAAAAGCATTCTGCAGGAAGCTGCAGCAATGATGGGGAAATAATAGGATCTCCAAGGTTTGTTTAGAATATTTTCAATGTTGAATTCTGTAACTATAGAGTAGGGAGGGTGAGTGTAGGCTCACAGCACTTAGGCCACATGTGACCCATTGTACATCCTTCCAAGGAGTTGTCCTCTTAGGTCATCGTCCATCCTGTCCTTTCCAGGAAGGTGGACAGGTCACTAGGCCACTCCTTTATATGTGTAGGTCAAGACTCGCCGAACACACACTCTCTTATTGACGATAACTCCGGACATTCGCATATAACATGTCTGACAGTTTCATCTTCCTGTTCACACATTCTGCATAGGGGTGTATTCACTAGCCCCATATTAAGGAGGTGCTTCCTTAGTTGACAGTGACCAGTCAGAAAACCTACTGTTGGGAGTAGATTTTTCCTGATCATCGCCAGATATTTCGTCGGTGCCAGCTTCCTAGGGTCGCCCAGGGTGATCCTGGCAAGATTGCATCCTTTGATTTCATCCCATCTCTTCAGGAATTGAGCATGGGTGTGACGTTTGGTTGGTTCCGCAATTGTCAAAGTCATCAGGCCGTAGGTGCCACTGGGTCCTAAAATTCTTAGTACAGCCGCTTCCTTGGCTGAAGAGTCGGCAATGCGATTACCTCTACTCCTGTCGTGCCCCTTAACCCACTTCAGGATAATTTTATTATCTACCGAGGCGTTGGCTAAATCTTGGTGGCACTCTAATACTAGCCCTGAGGTCACACGCTGTCTGTTCAATGATAATAGGGCTTGTCTGCTATTGGTGCAGATTGTTATGTTTTGCCAGAAATTCCTTTCCTGGTTATTTCTTTTGTGGCGATTGAGATACCAGCCAATTCTGTTTGGACCACGCTGGTATTTTTTCCTATTCCCCTTAAGCCTTAGGCTTAGTGATCTGCAGTACACTCCACATCCTGAGCCTTTCATTGTTGAATTACACAGTATGCGAAGTAAGTAAGTATGTTACAGTAAGTTATGTTATGGTTATGTTATGTTACAGTAACCAATAGTAAGTACGTAGTTTTGTTATGTTACAGTAAGTTATGTTACAGTGTGTATGCGAAGTTACAGTATGTCACAGTTAGGTTTCATAAAGTATGTAAATTGTCCTGACGGACGTTCCAGATAACAATACATTGGACTTTTTGATATATTCTACAATATACTGGGTGCCCAGTAGAAGCTTGCCGTATTAAAGTTTTTGTCAAACGAAATTCTTTCCATATTCTGATTACTTCAGGAATTGTAGGGGATTGTTGGCGTAAATACCGAGCGGTTCACGAGTTATATCAAAAACAACATCGAAAATATGATCTATTCAATGATTTACATATTTGATTAAATCTAATTTGGAAAGTATTCTTCGGTTATGAATATACTTTAAAAACATAGTTCCTCCAAGAATTGAATAATAATTGATATTCAATCTAAACGTGGACCAAATATTGTAGTGGGGATGTAATTTCTTCCTGAATACCTTTTTCCAAAGATGAGATGGAGATAAATATATTATTCCCAACTTCTTCAGCAAAATCTTCGGAAACGCAATTATATAGTAGGATAAATTTTAGACGAATTGATAGATCTTCATATGATCGACCTTTACGGAAAGAAATTATTGTGATGACCGTTGGTTCATGAGACTCCATCTTGATAACGTGAAAACTGTTATTGAACACAAAAAAATAATGGAATTCATTGAGACCCCTTCAAGGGAATAATTTTCAACATCGTCAACTGGCTTTATTCCCAATATTCCGGGCTCAGGTTACCTATTTTTCTATATACCTAACTACGATACTTCAGAAGTGTATAGGCGTATATAGACAGGCCTGAAGAAGTTTCGCTATCATATAGCGAAACAGGGTTCTGTAAAAATGTTCAGTGGAAATCCATATTGGCTACACAATTGATATACATAAAAAAAATAAGACCAAGCATGGATCCTTGAGGTGCATTCACTGTTACGAATTCTGCTATTATTTTCAGACAGACAGTCACGGTGAGCGGTTTCATTTCACAATATCTAGTGATAAAGCTTTTGCCCTATTCGGTTGAACGTAAAAAGACTCACCTCATGCGCAAGGATCATAGCTCATTTCTTTCCAAACAAAATAGAAGATTATCAGGAAGAAAACCACACCGACAACCGGTACCACAACATTAATCGGAGCACTCTTCACCACGCTGGCAACTGTCGCAACAGAACTCGCCACAGAAGTGACAGATTCGGTCAGAGATTCCATTTTTCAAAACGCTAATTATTCTTGAGGTTACGCTATGAGAGTGCAGAGCTGGGTTCAAATTCGCCTGAGGCCGTAGTAGATTAGGAAGATGATAGCGATAATACCGATGTAATAGACGCAGTTATCTATTTCCATCACCGGCATTTCTCGAATGGAATGTTACACTTCGAATTTTGACATTTTGTTATTTTGACGTTTGATGAAACTCCACTCAGGGATGTTCGAATCCTATATCACAGTGTGTTTTGAGGAGAACGACATCGTTACCAAACTAGCATTTTTGAATGGAGAGTTACTGTGAGTAATTGTGATATACAGTGATAAGTCAGGGTAACTACATACGGGGGTGATTTGCGGAATAGATTCGACTTCAAACGAGGAGGTACCTGGAGAAGCGAGGAAGGTGTTGTTGCAAATAAGGTTGGCATCAGTGACACATTGACAGCAATTTCGACGTTATGAAAACTGAGAAATAAAACTTCCTATTTTTTATATACCACTTGCATTTGTATCTAACGGTACTGCAGATTTGTCCTATAAAGACACTTTCAAACGAATATAATAAACTGAAATAATTAACAATGTTCACCCTTATGGATAGATATAGTGAAACCAATAATGATTGAGAGTAAAGCGCGTTACCATATCTAAATTTCACATTACCAGTTTATAGCAGAAACAAAATATAGTAAGCAGTAGAGTTGTAGGTTGTGGCAAATTATAGATAATACACAATACTAGTACGATTAAAAGGTATTATTTATGACAAAAATCAGTAATGAGCTTGTAATGAGTAATATTTATACATTTTCTGATTACTGATCAGTTAAAATTCATTATTTTCTGTATAGTGTTAGATATTTATTACAACTAGTGGCAACACTGCACGCAACGATATTTCTGTCTTTGTCACTTTACCGTAACTTCCATCTCATCGTTGCACTCCTCACTAATGTACTTGCAGCCATGAGTGTATCATTGGTTTGTGAATTATACAGCGTGAATTGTACGTTTTACAGTTAAGTTAGTCAGCAATCGACGTGTTGTGATAACAATTGGTGAAAATGATAGTGCTAATAAGTGATTGAGCGTTACATAATTATATTTCTACACCGTTCTCAAACTACTCAAAAAATGGGAGACATGGTCGGGCCTTCCACGTCGAAAAAGGTAAAACGGTCGGAGTCTCGGTCAGTAAGAGAAAAACAAATTGTACTGCGAATATTTCACTGTCTTGAAAGAGATCATTAGCCACCAAAAGATGACTTTGTGCATATGTGCTGTAATTCTACGTGTGTACCTCCGAATAACCAACCGGGCATTTCTACATCATTAAGTTCCACAATTACAAAAGATAAATAAGTCCAAATTAAAAAAATATACACCGTTGTTTAGAAAATCACAAAAACTTTCAAACAATGTGTCTCTCTCGCCCCCACTTGCCTATTAAATTTCCAAGGGTTGTCACCCCTCTGCTCCGGGGTTGAAGTGGACGCTGTAAATGGGGGAAAAAACTATCCCACCTCCCAATAAAAATCGACCTGTCTGAGCGTTTTTTAGGATTCGCAAGATTAGTACCTAAAACCTCCATGTCAAGTTTTCAATGGTCCACCCTGTATATAGTTAAAGTGAAGATTTATGCCTTTTTTAGGTTAAGAGGACTGAATGAACCCTATTGTTCTCCTCCAATTCTTCACCAGTGATAGCATTAGCAAAAAAAATTATGTTACAAGAAACATAACAAAAGTTATAGTCACTAGAGTTTATCTACATACCAAAATTAGTTCTCTATTATCTGGAATTTCTCAAGGATTTTGTAGGTTACGATCGCAAAAGTTGCGCTGGCCAATATCTTCAAGCCAGCTTCAGTGACGATGTAGTTTATCATTTTTTCGATTATACACCCGCACATTTTCAGGAAATATCAAACTAAATTCATGAATTGATTGCGTTAATCCATTTGACGGCTTTGCTTCTGACTGCGAATTTTGACTGATAGGTTAGTTATGACAGAAGTCAACGTTGAGGTTACTGAAGACGAAAATGTCGTCATACAATTGACAGAAAATGATGAGAAACTGAAATATGTTAATGAAAAATGAGAAATGAAACTTTCAATGGAGGTTGTCATTTTTATACAGTGTCAGACATGAAGTCCACAACATACGGCAGTCCTTTTTTATTGATATATTCATTCAAAATTTGATTCCGCAGTGAAGGGTGCTCTGAGAGCGGTGCCTGTACTGGTGCGTGTTCATTGGTGCACTTTTTGAGCATTGGGCACTTCATCAGGACCAGACGCCTTGTTGGTATCAAACTGTTTCAAAATTCTCCTGAGTAGACGTTGTCGAAGAGTAATTTTCGGCATTGTGGATTCTAGTCTAAAAATAGTGCCTTCACCAGGAAATCGATTGCAGATTCAAATTATTTCTGTGCAAAATTCTTCTTAGAGTTTCGTCTTCAGGAGATGAAGTACTTTGAACTTCAATACGACGATTAGGTGAATATAATCGCTATAGTGAACATTTTTAGAATGTTTTCAGACTATGGTTCGATTTTGAACTTACCTTCAATAGAAGCTGATAGTCGTTGATACGTTGTATCGGAAGTTTTAAGTGTTCAGATATAGTCTTGTCGTCACCGAAACGTTGTGAAAGTTCCTGTAACAATAAATGAATTCATAAATTGGAGCAAGAAACCATAATATCACATTATATAAATACTTTTACAGTACCAAAAATAAATTGAAACTTATATGATGGAATTGGCTGATATTTGATGAAAATCCATAACTAACGTATTCAAAAAACACATATTGTGAGATTTTCACAAAACCATACAATGGCTTCTTCGAGTGTGTTTTTATTATTAGCTAAATCAGACAATATTGTGAAAATCTCACAATTTTTTGAATACGTTGAATTTAAATCCGTTAAGTCCCAACACATTCGCCATTATATTGAATTACACAGGCCACCGATGAAAAAACTTTTTTACTTAAAACACCTTATTATTCTGTTTTTTAGGGTGCTAAATCCAAATATGAAACTTATTAGGCCTACCATTTTTTCACATTTGCACATCAATACAATAATTTTTTTGATTTATTACAGAATTTAACAGCTTTTATATAATACAAATAAAATTGCAAAATAATTTGTGCTGGATGTAGAAGAGTTGGCAGCAGTGCTGAAACACATTTACTGTCCAGAAACAGGGGAATTATATTGTTATACCTAACCTTACTTTCTGGTTTCCAGTCCCAGCACATTCGCCATTATATTGAATTACACAGGCCACCGATGAAAAAACTTTTTTACTTAAAACACCTTATTATTCTGTTTTTTAGGGTGCTAAATCCAAATATGACACTTATTAAGCCAACCATTTTTTCACATTTGCACATCAATACAATAATTTTTTTGATTTATTACAGATTTTAACAGCTTTTATATAATACAAATAAAATTGCAAAATAATTTGTGCTGGATGTAGAAGAGTTGGCAGCAGTGCTGCCTAACCTTACTTTCTGGTTTCCAGTGCTCATTAAAATTTCTAATCGCGGTTGTAAGAACTCTGCTTACAGTTTTTGTTATATTTGTGGTGAGTTTGTTACTAAAAAACATGAAAGAAACATTACATACTTTGTGAAAAAGGTATATTTCTCATATTTTGGAATTAAACTTGGTGATTGGATAAATCTTGGGACCCGCGTTAGGTATGTTATGTTTGTGTTGAAGATCTTAGAAAATGGTCAAAGAAGGAGAAAAAAGCCTTCAAGTAAGCTGTTTCTATGATATGGAGGGAACCTAGAAACCACACTGATGATTGCTACTTTTGTAGTAGTGATATTACTGGCCGTAACTCGAAAAACAAGAAGGTAATAAGCTACCCTAACCTAATTTTCGCCATCCGACCAGTAGGGCACGATGTAGATTTGCCGGTCCCAGAACCTCCAGATGATTTGAATTCTGTTCAAACCGAAATGTTTTCTGATGTACTGTCAGATATAGATGAACAAGATGATGAAGAGTTTCAATGTGCTACAGCAAATATAGAGCCTAAACTTTTTACTCAGATTAAGTTTAATGACTTAGTTGGGGATCTTGGATTTTTTGAACAAGAAGGTGATTTAGTGTACTATTTAGACATTCCAGGTCTGATCAAAGAGTTTGGTGTTGAATACAAAAAAGAAGACTGGAGGCTGTTTATTGATTCTTTCAAAACTTGTTTGAAAGCTGGTTTATTACACAATAGTAACACTTATACATCTATATTTGTTGGCCATTCTGTACAAATGGAAGAGACCTATGAAAACCTAGAAATAGTGTTGAATAAAATTGGCTATTCGGGTCATGGTTGGATGATATGTGGTTGTTACTTCAAAGTAACATGCATGCTTTTTGGTCAGCAAGGCGGTTTTATCAAATTTCCATGTTTTTTGTGTGAATGGGGCAGTAGAGCAAGGGATCAACATTGATGCAGGTAGAACTGGCCTGTAAGGGAGTCTTTAAAACCCGGGGAGAAGAACCTTCTTCGCAAAAATCTTGTAGATCCTAGGAACATTCTCTTACCACGTCTACATATAAAGTTAGGCCTCACGAACCAGTTTGTAAAGGCATTACCTAAAGATGGACCTTGTTTCAAGTATCTCTGTCAGAAAATTCGAAACCTTTCAGGAGCTAAACTTAAAGAAGGCGTCTTTGTAGGACCCGACATTCAAAAAATGATGTTCGACGTAAACTTTGAAACCACAATGACCATACATGAGGAAGAAGCATGGATATCATTCAAGCAAGTTATTACAAAATTCTTAGGAAATGCAAAAGACCCAGAATATGGTACCATTGTAGCTAATATGTTGAAGAATTTTAAGAAACTAGGATGTTTGATGAGCCTGAAAGTCCACTTCTTGAATAGTCAGTGACGAGCAGGGTGAGCGTTTTCACCAAGATATTAAATTGATGGAAAAACGTTACTAGGGCCGCTGGAACATCAACATGATGGGAGACTACTTATGATCACTTCACCGTGAAGCTCAACAAGCGATTAGTGGAACCTATATTACAACAATGTATCATTATTGATTGATAACATACCTAGCTTTTTCGTTGAAGTAACATGCACACCTCCTAGCCATACCATTACAGTCAATCTTCAATCTAGCACTGAGTACAAGATGCTTTCCTAAGAAATGGAAAATATCAAAAATTTGCCCAATTTTCAAAGCTGGTGCAATAAACAATATCCAAAACTACCGACCTATAACCTTGTTATCAAACTTTGCAACAGCTTTTGAGATGTGCTTGTACAACAGAATCTTTCCTGATGTTGAGGATTTAATTTCAAACAATCAACACGGTTTTTTTCAGCAATGGATCAACAATAACTAACTTAATGTGCTTCACACAATCAGTAAGTAATGCACTTAATAATAACCTACAAGTATATACTGTCTACACAGATTTCTCGAAGGCGTTTGACAAGTTGGATCATAACATTCTTATCAATGAACTTCACCAATATGGATTCGACTCCCAACTCTCAAACCTTTTCCGCTCATACTCAACTGAACGTATCCTATTCGTAGATTATTGGAGTCACAAGTCGTTCCAATTTATTGCAAACAGTGGTGCTCCTCAAGGAAGCAATTTAGCACCTCTTCTATTCTCACTCTTAATTAACGACATAGGAAATAATCTCTCTAGCAATTTCTTACTCTTTGCAGATGATTTGAAAATCTTTCGACCTATTACATCACAGGAGGACTGCTTAATCTTACAAAAAGACCTTGACTTTTTGTACAATTGGTGTACCGAAAATAATCTTCCCATTTGACACATTTGACCCTAAACTGAGCTTCTCCATCCACTATGACACAATAACATACTGAGCCAAACGGATGCTAGGGTTTTTCAACTCTTTTCAATGCATACGTCAAATCTCGACTGGAATATGCCTCCCTTATATGGTCACCCATATACAATGTCGAGTCTATACAAAGAGGCTTCATAAAATATATTACTTACAAGCTAGAAGGAGTTTACCATGAACAAGGCATCGACAACAGAATATTACTGAATAAATTCAATCTATTATCCCTTCAGAACCGAAGAACCTACTACTTTATAATTTTCATTTATAAACTAGTGAATAATCTGATTGACTGTTCCGAACTACTCTCCCACTTCAACTTTCATGTTCCACGAATCAATTCTAGAAATGAACTGTCTTTTTATCTACCAAATTCTAGAACAAACATATCACTCAAGTCACCAGTTGTTGCAATGAGCAAACTTTACAGTCAACTCTGTGAAAATCTCGACATTTATTATGAACCTATTGGTCAAGTTAAGAACCACGTTAAGAAACTTTTACACTCAAGTCAAAATACATGAGCCCAAATTGAAAGTTATTCTACCATGTGAGCTTATTACTTCTACTGTATTACTGCTGAATTATGTTTTGTTTTGTAATACACCTGAACTATGTTTTTACTTGTTAGCTCTATATCTGACTTATGGTTTTTCTTCAATTACTCTCCTAGCTTGCTGCACACAAGTTTTCTACCTAATTTCTGCTTAACTCTCCTAAATGTTTACTTTATTTTATTTTTTGTTTACTTGCTTCAGGTGTTTCTAGTTGATAAATTAGTATTGTATTCATGTATATGTGTATCTATGTATGTATACAGTGCTTTTCAGATAAAAGTATCCACCTTTAATAACTTTTGTAATACTGGTATTTAGGAAAAATCCAAAAACACGTCAATTTATGTTGGAAGGGGCAAGCATTATGGCTTATTTTAACTTACTGGAAAAGCCAAAAGTTAAGTTGGTGCACGAGTTGAATGAAGATGATTTTGATCGTCGTCTAGAGTTTTGCGAATCAATGACGCAATTTATCAATAACAATCCACAATTGTTAAACAATATTTGCTTTTCTGATGAATGCTCATTTTCATTAAATGGCTTAGTAAATAGACATAATTGTAGATATTGGGCTGAAAGTGATCCACATATTATGCGTGAATTCCATACACAACATCCCCAAAAGTTAAACGTTTGGTGTGATATCCTAGGTGACCACATTGTCGGACCTTTCTTCATCAACGGAAATTTAAATGGTGAATCATATCTTGAGTTACTCAGGGAAGGGGTTGACCCACGTATTACAACAATAATAGAAAATGATGATAACCTTTCCGAAGATTTACTGGTATTTCAACAAGACGGAGCTCCCCACACTATGCTATGCCTGTCCGACAATTTTTAACCGAAACATTCCACGCTCGTTGGATAGGTAGAAGAGGGCAGATGATGGAGTGGCCACCTAGGTCACCGGATTTAACACCCCTAGACTTCTTTTTATGGGGGTATTTGAAAACAAAAGTTCATGCTACCCAACCAGAATCTCTGGATGATTTACGAGAGAGGATAGAAAATGAATGTCGACAATTAAATCCAGCCGTATTAAGCAATGTCAGAAAGACATTTCAAAATAGATTATACCATTGTATGGAAGTGAATGGTACACTTATTGTAACTTCATAATAAATAGCACAGTTAAAAAGATTAAAGAGTTTGAACTGTTGTACAACCCACCTTTCAAATAAGGTGAAAGTAAAAAATAAGTAAAATTTGTGCTATTAAAAGAAAAA